CTCTCTCTCTCTCGCTCTCTCTTTATCGTTTTGTCTTTCGCTTTCGCACCAGTTTTCCGTTTTTCTATGTCTTTCATTCTAACTCTCGTGCTCGCTCGGACAATCTCGTGTACTAGATCTCAGCATCTCTCTCTTTCTCTCTCTCGCTCCTTCTCTAATGTTCGCTCTCTCGCCGACAGTAAAGAGAATAGCGACACCAGAAATCTCTCCTTGCCCAACCCTATCAGGGCACCCGCAACAGAAATTTCCGAATCTTGCTGTCACCCTCTCTTTAAAGGGCACGTTCAGGGACGTTTTTGGAAAAAAAAGCAAAGATTCTTGCCGCGGCCGGGAGTCGAACCCGGGCCCCCCGCTCGGGAGGCGCGGATGTATACCAGTCAGCCACAGCTACAACCTGGCCAGGGGGCGAGGGGGCGCCCCACGCCGCAAAGGAGGGGAATGGCCTGTCAAAGCACGGGCAGGCAGTGCGCGCGGTCCCTACGTCCATAGGGTGTATACGTTGGACAGAGTATACGGCCCCTCCCTGAACGTGCGCTTTAAAGGCCCAGTCTAGGCGCCCCGATCCACGATCTTTCTATCCGCATCCTGACATTTCTCGGCAATTAAAGGCTGGAATGGATGGACTGACAAGAAGAAGCCCAATTTCTCTACCCAACCACCCCTTAACTCCCTTGGTCGCACCCAACAGCATTCATTTCGAATGGAGGGCAACTAGGGGTCGAGTACAGGAATTTTCTAGGCGTTTCAAACATGGTTTTTCAACTGGTCCTTGGCTTATCTGGTCTATTTCAAATACATTTAGATTTTGGTTCTCAGATACCGATAAGAAAACCATAGAATGAACGAGAGAGAGAGAGAGAGAGAGAGAGAGAGAGAGAAGGAGAGCGAGGGAGAGCGAGAGCGAGGGAGAGCTTGACCTAATGTAGCCCCGTGCGTCACTTCCGTACCTTCAAATGTACATCCCGATCTCCCCCTCGGCACCAGGAAATGCCGGCCCGTTCCTGGGGTTTAATGGTGTTCCCCAAAATGGAGGTCCAGCCCCGCGCCTGAAGAGCCGACCCTCGAAACGGCCATTTCGACGTTGATGACCAGAGCTCGTTCTCTCGCTCTCTCTCTCACCTTCAATTTCTCTTTTTTGAGATAATAATTCGACATGCAACTCCCCCATGACCCCCTTCCATCCAATTAGTCAAATGCCAAGCCGCGGTCCCTGCAGCGTTTCTTTGATTTCCGTGGTCGGTAATTGCCGGCTCAACTTTAGTCTTTTCGTGCAGGGAAACATTTCCAGAATCTTTATTCCTCTATTGTTAATCGATTCACACATCGGGTATATTCTTTCGAAGGTGTCCCTCGCGGCTCAGCCAACCTCGCCGGGTGGACGTCGCTTCCACCGGTAGATCGTGGTCCTCCCTAGAAAATTTCTCTCTCTCTCCTTCTCTCTCTCACTCCCTGTCTATCGCTTTCTCTTGCTCTCTCTCGCTGTCTCTCCTGCTCACTCTCTCTCGCTCGCTCTTGCACTCCGTCTCCCCACCGTACCCAGCCTGTGGATCCATGCCCGCCGCCCGTTCATCGTCCGCCCACAGCGCCGCCTCGTACTGCGGCCACCCCGAGCGAACCGCCTCCAACCCTAAAGCCGCGGCATTTGGAGCGTAGCGTAGTATCTCTTCGCCTTCACCACGATTTACCGGTGGAAGCGAAGTCAACCCGGCGAGCCTTAACGTATCCTTACGCACTCTGCAGTAGCCGATGGTAGACGACGAGCACGTAGAGCATCAACGGAATGTAGATGACCACGCAGAGTCCCGGAATCAGCGCGTCCGAGTCGTAGTGCTCGGGCACGCGGTCGGCATTCTGAATTTACGGGGTCAATGCATAACTTTAGCAATTATGCGAGTACGGATTGAAGTCCTTAAACTCCCACCCAACTCAGCTGCATGCTGCGCTCTAAAAAATGAGGAAATCTTCGATTTTTGAGGGGGTTATGCGCTAAATTTCAAGTATGATTTGGTATGCAAATAACAGGAAAGAACAACTAGCTAGAGAGAGAGAGAGAGAGAGAGAGAGAGAGCAAGAGAGAGAAAGAGAGAGGGAGAGGGAGAGAGACAGAGAGAGAGAGGGGGAGAGAGAGGCAGAGAGAGAGAGAGAGAGTGAGAACTAGATTCGAGCGCGTAGCGTTTCCACAAATTCATATTTTATTCCTACGCAACGGAATATGCAAATCAGCTCGAAAGCGGCGCACGCTAGGTAGACGCGGCTTTTAGTAAAGCCAGACTTAAGGTTTTTATGCTTCCAAATCTCAAAAACTATTCACATCTTCTCTCTAACTCACTCCCTCCTCCATCTTTTTCTCGCTCTCTTTCTCGCACACACTCTCCCTCTCTTTCTCGTTGGCTTTCTCAGCGCTCTCTCGCTAGCTCTCTCTCTCTTTCTCTCGCTCTCTATCACGCGCTCTCTCTCTCTCTCTCTCTCTCTCATCTCTTTCACTCATTGACTCTCTCTCCATCTTTTGGTTTCTCCCTCCGCACAGTTTCAAGTACGCGAATTTCAACTTTTACGATTTCCGCATGCATTTTGGGGAGAATATAAGTCGATGCTCTAGAGTGCACGAGTTCTGTGCGTGTTTTCCCGTCGGCGCATCATCGCCTCGTTGGGGCCCATGCATAAATGGCTGCCCAGTCCCCACGAGGACACATTTGCAACTACCGTACCACACCCAGGCAACATCCAAATATTTTGGACCCCCGTTCTCTAGACGTTGAGGCGGCTAAAAGGTGGCTAAGAGGTCAGCGCGCCCAAAAACAAGGGCTTACTATTTCGGGAGACTCCTATGGACACTCTCCCCCCTTGCAGCGACATCTGAAAAATTGGATCTTGGCCGTGCCAATTAGACGTTGGGTCAGGCGGATGGAGCACGGGGGGGAAGCTTTATTTTGTTGCCCCGGATCTTTTTACAAGGGTTAGCAAGGGACCAGGTTTTGGTTCCGTATAGTATTATTAATTTATATCTTGAGTTAAAACTGTACTTTTTGGCTATTGTGTATTTTTTCAAAAGTGGCTTTCAAAGCTCACCTGCCATTTTGTTTGTGTATTTTTTATGTTCAATTTTTTGACCCACTCCTTTTATGACCGTCAGAAAGAGAGAGCGAGAGAGAGAGAGAAGGCGAGAGAGTGAGAGAGAGAGGGGGAGCGAGGGAGAGAGAGACAGCAAGAGATAGAGAGAGAGAGAGAAAGAGAGAGAGAGAGAGAGAGAGAGAGAGAGCTAGAGAGAGAACAGAGAGAGAGCAAGTGAGTGAGAGTGAGGGTAAGAGAAAGCGAACGGGACATAGAGCTAGAGCGAAGTAAATGGGAGTGAGCGAGAGCTAACTGGAATGAGACAGAAAGAGAGAGAGAGAGAGAGAGAGAGAGAGAGAGAGAGAGAGAGAGTGGGAGAGAACGTGATCGAGAGAAAGAGAGCATCGATTTTGGCTGCAAATTCTCCAGAATTTTCTACAAATTTTTCAACGATCACTCACCCGTTTTCTACCCCCTACGATGGTCATTGCACGCAAATACCTCGCCCTTTTTGGCTTTTCCAAACCCAAATCCCGGGCGCTTAGTCTTGTTATGTCGTGTTTACCCCTTGGCCATCCCCCAAAAAAGGCTCAAGTATTTTCTCCCCGCCCTTCACTGGCTTTAGCCCAAATTTCCGGAAAAGTTCGTTCAGTACTTGGCTTTTTATACTGCATGTTTTTATTTTGCATTGATAATTTAAAATCTGCAAAGTTAGGTCTGGTTACGCGCCAAACCCTGTGGGCCCCCACACTGGCGTTAGCATGTTTTTTGGGCCCTTAGGGGATCTGGGGGGCCGTGGCCAAATACATTAATATGCTAGCAAACAGCTCAAAACATTGGCCTACTCAGAATAGGGGATGGGAAAGAGAGAGAGAGAGAGAGAGAGAGAGAGAGAGACCGAGAGTGAGACAGAGAACGGGAGAGAAAAACACGGAGCAGAGTACACCATATACTTCTTCAGTTCTTGGATTACTTTTGCACCCTATATCACAATTTTTTTATCTCAGTCTCTCTCACATGCTCTCTCACTCACTCTCTCTCTAACGCGCTCTCTCTCAATCTCTCTTTTAATTTCATCTCTCTCTATCTGTGTCCCTGTCTTTATTTTTCCGTTCTCGTGTTCTCTCCCCCTCGCCGTCTATACCTCTCTCGCTCTCTTTCGCTCTCTCGCTCCCTCCCGCGCTCTCTCTTTCTCTCACACACGCTCTCCCTCTCTCCTTAACTTTTAAGAAATTTTGGAAGCGGAGTCCTTGTAACTTCTGAACATTACACCCCAAGTCCCAATTTCCTCGACTCCCATGGCCCAAAATCCTCCGAACCCACCTGGAGGTCCACAGATAGATCAGATTGGACCTCCCATGCATACCCCGTGGCTATATTTCATCCGTTCCCCCCTTTCCCTTCCCGGCATTCCGTCCATAGGTGTCTCCCGTCCCTTCCCCCCTTCGATCAGTCTTCTTCTCAGATTGATGTGCGAGTGTCCAGAATTCAGGACGCGGCCGTTCCGCCCCGAATCATTCTCCACACCCCCTGAAACCCGCCAAAAAACAAACCCGGGAATTTCGTGTGGACGTCCGGAGGGGTGGGGGGAGGCATTTGGAAGCTGTGGGGACCGCACCTCATTGCTAATTGGATTCTGGATATTTACACCGGCACAACGGCCGGATCTGTGATTACGTGTGGTGGTGATTCTGCTGGTTGGGAGAAGCGAGAGAGAGAGAGGGAGAGATCGAAAGAGAGAGCGAGAGAGAGTGGGAGATAGATAAGAGAGAGAGGGTGAGAGAGTGGGAGAGAGAGATAAAGAGAGTGCGGGAGAGAGACGGAGAGAGATAAAGAGAGAACGCAATAGTAAAAAAATAATCCACTACCTAAACAGTGCTGTATTCAAATTCCTCTTTTTTCCAACGCTGATTTATTCGATTTTTTGACTTATACCCTAATTTTTCCAGATGACGAACATTTGCGATCATCCAGAAAAATTATACGAAGAGCTGCGGCTGGTCCGCGGATTGGATCGTCATACTTATAGGGTAAGTTGTTTTGCGAATGAGAGAAAGAAATAGGGAGAGAGAGAGTGAGGGAGAGAGAGAGAGAGTGAGAGAAATAGAGTGAGAGAGTAAGCGCGAGAAAAAAGTGAGTGATAGTGGGAGCGTGATGGAGGGCGAGAGGGCGCGAAATCGAGAAGGAGCATGAGAGAGCGTGAGAGAGAGAGAGAGAGAGAGAGAGATAGCGAGAGTCTAGCCTAAAGATAGAATTTTCAGTATCTCTACCCGATCCAGCTTCTCGTGACCCTTGTCGGCAATGTACTAATTATCTCTGTCCTGCTGCGAAGCCAAGTCAAAAATCGGTGAGCTTTCCGTCACGAAAGGATAAGATTGATACGTTGAATTAATGCTAAGCAATTTTTCCATTTCAGAGCCAACCACCTCCTAGCCCTGCTGGCCTTGTGCGACGCGATGGTGTTGATCCTGCTCTTCCCCCAGTTCCTGGCCACCCTGCCCGGTGTCCAGGACTCGAACTCCTATCGAGTATTCTATAAAAAGGTGACAGATTCGTTATGGATTCCAACCCCTTTTCCGTTCCAGATCATGGTCCAGGTGCAGGCGCTAAGCAACTGGTTCAGCGCGGCGGCAATTTGGTAGGGTTTTGCAAGGAGTTGGTAAAATTTTTGCAGGTTTGTGCTGGCAGTGTCGATCGAGCGGCTGGTCGTCATCAAATTCCCATTTCGGTCGCTCAACAATTTCAATGTAATTTAAGGGTGGGGACGAAATAAAGCAAGGTTTTTAGAATAAGCAAAGTGTCGCGATGGCGTTCGTCGTTTTTGCTGGGACATTTTTGCTAACCAGGTAAGTCGGAGTGAAGCTCGCGCTCTTTGTTCTCTCTCTCTCGCTCTCTCACTTTCTCTGTCTCTCTCTCGCTCTCTCTTCATCTTCTATCTCTCTCACTCTCGTTTGCTCTCTGTCTCTCTCACTCTCTCTCTCTCTCTTTCTCTGTCTCTCTCACGTTTTCTTTCTCTCTCGCGCACTCTCTGACTCTCTCGCTGTCCCTCTCTCTCATTTCTCCATTTGCAGCTATCACTACATTTCCTATCGCTGTGAGATGCGAGAATTCTGTAACGAGACCCTGGTGCGGGTCAGCTGCTTCCCAGCTGGTCTTGAATACTTCCATAAAATCTACCGTATCCCGTTGCCCTCAGAAGCCAGATTGGTAAGTTAAGCCAAGACGACGCTTATCTTCAAGTGACAACTTTCACCCCGCTTTTTAGTCCTTCATCCACTACGCCACCGTCCTCAACACGATATTCGCGGTGCTGGGACCAGTGGTGGCGGTTGCCGTGCTAAATGTTGCCCTGCTGAGACTTATCAAGAACCGAAATTCCCAGGTGAGCTTCGGCAGCTTGAAGCTGACATCAAGATGATTTAGGAGCTGCTCGCCAATTGCCATCAGCACAAGGGACCTTCGGCGCAGATTCAGCAGGAGCGGAGAATGACGAGAACGTAAGGATTCGTCTTAGGCTTAAGTTTCGACGTCTGCTTAGGCTTAGGCTCATGCTTAAACTCACAAACACCTCAATTTTTAGGGTGATGGCCATCGTCACATGTTTCACCGTAACGCAAGCACCGTCGGCGTTGTTTGCCCTCCTTCGGAGCTACATTCTACTGCCGCCACGGTTGGTACAAAATTCTGGAGCCCAATCCAAGGCTTCTGAAGTGTGCATGTGGCTTCCAAGTCCTTTTAAAAGCCAACAAGACCTATGAAGCATTTGTTTCAGCGTTGCCGATATCGTACCGCCAATCACAAACAACCTGGTGCTGATCGGGAAGATGTGCAACGTCGTTTTGTTCTGCATGACGTCGTCGATATTCAGGAGGAGGCTTCTGCTTTCGTTGCGGTAGGTTCAGAGGAGTGTATCTCACTTTTTCTCTCTCTCGCTGTCTCTCTCTCTAGCTGTCTCTCTCTCGCCCGCTGTTCTCTCTCTCACTCTCTCTCTCCCTGCCTCGCTCACTCTCTCTCCCTCTCTCGCTGTCTCTCTCTCACTCACTCTTTCGCTCTCTCTCTCTCATTTTCTCTCTCTCTCTCTCTCTCTCTCTCTCTCTCTCTCTCTCTCTCTGCCTCGCTCACTCTCTCCCTCTCGCTCTCTCTCATCACCCTTTTTTGCAGACTGTGGACGGGCGGTATATTCGGGAAGGAGCGGAGGAAGACGCTGTTGAGGTAGCGTGACTACTGCTGCTGCTGTTACTGACTACTGCTGGACATAATTTTGGGTTCACCCAAAGTTTTCGGCTTTTCTCGCACAGCAATGGGGCTCTCGCCGCGCGCTTTGAGTATAGGGTTTGCCGAGTATATTCTTATCCGGGCTTCAAAGGAAAACCGCGAAGAATTTTTAGTTTTTGTTTTAATGGTTTTTTTGAAAAATTACCATTTTGGCAAGTGGACATAATTTTGGGTTCACCCTGGGAAAGCCGCTAAAAAACTCGAAAAACGCGATATGTGTTATTGTTGGGCCAACTTTGGGAAAAAATACGTGAAACTCAATGTCTGAACATTTAAAAACCACCTCCTCGATGCCCAGGATTGGGCTATCGGTATGCTTTAGGTCGCCGGGGTCTCAGGTATTGATTAACGCATTCTTTAGCGACTGGACTTTTTGGTAGCGGTGATTATGGATACAAAACGACGTCATCAGGTAGCTGTAACAGTTTTTTTATCAATGCGTACCTGAGAATTGGCCGACAGGTCAACAAATTAATTTCCAAGACTTTGGTAACGCGAACTTGGCCGTTTGTTGACTGGAATCCGCGCGTTCAATTCCTGGAAAATGCGGCTCTGGACCGGATTCAACCGGAATAATGGCGGGCGGAAGCCTTCCAAGGCCTACGCGCGTACTTTTTATCCACGAAAATCCACGAAATGAGCTGCGCCGGACTGAGTCACGAAATCGCGGCCCAAAGCGTCAGCTTTAAGCTCATGCTCAAGAAGTTGAAGCCGAATCTGTACGAGTAGGCTTTGGAAGGCTTCCATCCGTTATTGTTCCGGCTGAATCCGGTCCAGAACCGCATTTTCCAGGAGCTTCAGATTTGGATTCCGGTTAGCAAACGCCGATGGTTATGGTTGCAATGCCCGGAATTTCACTTTTTGAGCTGTCAGCTAATTCTCAAGCACGCATTGATGAAAAACCTGTTAAGGCTACCTGGTGGCATGATTTTCCATCAATAATCACTGCTACCGAGAAGTCCAGTCGCTAAAGAATGCGTTATTCGAGAGCCGAGGCTCCGGCGATCAGAAGCTTGCCGATAACCCGTTCCTCCACATCGTGAAGCGGGGTCTTCAAGCGTTCAGGCATTCAATTATGCTTATTGTTAACCAATTAACTCATTTCGTAAACCAATTTGCGTTTTTAAGATTTTTTTTGGCAGATTTGGGTGGGTGAACCCAAAATTATGACCACTTGCCAAAATGGTAATTTTACAAAAAAACCATTTAAACAAAAACTAAAAATTCTTCGCGGTTTTCCTTTCAAGCCCGGATAAGAATATACTCGGCAAACCCTATACTCAAAGCGCGCGGCGAGAGCCCCATTGCTGTGCGAGAAAAGCCGAAAACTTTGGGTGAACCCAAAATTATGTCCAGCAGTGTATGTGTATCCTATAGATGAGAGAAGGGCATGCTAATTTGGTGCGTTTTTGGCTGTCCTTTCCACTTCAAGCGTAATTTGGTGTGTAGCGTAGCTTTGTGAATTTTTCTGAAGCTGTAGTTTGTAGTCAGCTGGAAATATCATTTTTCTTGGAAGAAAATGGCTATGAGTTAAGCTCAGGCTTTGGAAGAGGCTTCGGCTGAGCTATCGACTTTGGTCTTCGCTCAAGAGCGGGCTTAGACTCCGGCTTAGACTTAATCTAACCTATCCACACTGTAGTTGTTCGCCTTTTGTCTTGGTCATTCCCCAATTTCCATCCGGGACCCAGACCCGTTACAGTACGCGCTCCCTCTCCCGCTCCCTGCTCACCCAGAAGACATCCGTCGTCCACTCGCCTTCCATCAGGTACCGTAACCATCCGTTTTTCGCGCGCCTAAAACTTGCCCCACTTACCGTAGCATTTTCAGGGTGGTGCCCCGAAGAACGTCCGAAATGAAGCGGATGGAGTCGTTCAACATGCAGCTCGTCCACCGCCCAGACGATGCTCAATCGCGCCTCGAACCCGAACGACCCGGGGAACACCGATTTTGAAGGCAACGGCTACAAACTACAACACTTCACACAGCTCATTGCATTCCACTCGATTATTGTGGCAATTTTCCATAGGCTAAAAACTAAATAATACAAACTTTAAAAATCTGTTCCATCCCATTACGTGTGTCTTTTTACTTGATTTGAAACCCCGAAAAGCCGAAAACCAATGCGAAAAAATATTTATTCGTGTGGGCACGGTTGTCAAATATTATATCATGATAAATATACCAAAATGATCGATACATTAATGGCGAATACATGGAATGGGGCCAAGCAAACGGGTTGGTTCGTATTTTCACAAGTGGAGGGCCCGTCTAGTCGTTCATCTCGGCCGATTTCAGCTCCTCAGACTTTTCCTGGAGGTTTTAGGTGTAAATTTAGATTTGCTAACACGAGGTCGAAGTTTCATAATGCCGAAATTTGATAATGGCGTAATTTCAAAATGGCAAAATTTCAGAATGTCGAAATTTCAACCTGTCGAAACATCTTGCAAGGCATTTGCGCGATTTTTCCGGGATATTTTCGTATGCAAATTTCGACATTATGACTCTTGACATTTAGAAAGTAACCCGTAAATTCAAGAATTAAAGATAGTTTCAGGAGTTATTATACTTTTCACCGGCCTACCTCTCGCTTCATCTTGAGATTTTTGACGTGCTTGACCTTGACCTTCTCCTCGGAGCTGTTCTGAAATGCTGTTTTTGTTTATTCATTAAAAAACTGCTCGAAAAACGTGAGTAACTTCATTTCGGGCCTAAAGAATTTTAATCTAAAACGCCAAGTCGTATTATAAAAATCGGCAAACCTCTTCTCGCTTTGCCTTGTTATTTTTGGCCTTGGGCTTCTTTTCGGCTTCCTCGGAAGAGTTCTAAAAGTGCAAAAAGTGCTCTTTTGCGTTAAGATCTATATTTAAATAAATTTTAAACACTGTATTCTTTTATTATCAACCAACCTGACGTTTCGCCTTGTTCTTTTTCGACTTTTCCTCCTCGGCATTCTCCTAAAAATTAGCGAAATCCATGGTTTTTGTGTTTTCGCACCTCTCGCTTCTCCTTCTTCTCGTTCTCATTCTCGTTCTCCGGCTTATCCTAGCACAAAGATTAGCTACAAGTTTGTTACTCACCTCTCGCTTTTTGTCCTTCTTGTTCTGCGCCTTCTCGTGCTCCATTTCCTCCTCGCGCTCGGCGCTTTCCTAAAATATTTTGTTAGGTTTACAATCCCACTGACCTCGCGCTTCTTTTGGTTCTTTTTGTTCATTGGCTTTTCCTCGGCTTCAGCAGAAGCATCCTGGAAAAAACATTGAAAATCATAGCGATGTTCAGCACCTTCTTGTCCTTCTTCTTATTCGCGTTTTCCTCAGCGGCCATGTCCTAAAAATGGATTTTACGTTATATTTTATTAGCAAAATGGTTTAAAGATAGCAAAATGGCTGAGAATCGCTTAAAATTAAGGCCCACCTCGCGCTTGTTGTCCTTCTTCATCTTCTTTTGATCAGCCGCGTCGACCGAGACGTCATCTTCACGCTTCATCTCCTGCTTCTGTTCATCCTCCGCATTTTCCTGAAACCCAAAATCGTAAGACGATCTCGGAATTAAGCACCTTCTCGTGTTCAGCATCTCTCTTCAGCTCCTTTCTATCCTTCTTCTGCTTCTCATTTTCCATCTTCTTCTCATCAACAGTCTCCTCATTCTCCTCGTGGTCTCCGCTTTGAACCCGGAAGACGTAGCATGTCTAGAGAAATGTTGCGGAATCAGGAATCGTCCAACCTGCTTGGAGTCGCCGTCGACGCAGAAGTAGTCGGAGGTCGTGGCGAATTTCTGTTCGGCGCCCGAGGTACAAGCGATGGCAAAGGTGTCGTGCTAAAGTGGCGCGTGAATGATAGAATCGCTGAAATTACCGGGAACTCCTTGAGGATGGTGCCCATGATGAATGTGCGCGACTCGCCCGGCTCGGCGCGTAGATTGTCGACGATGATCTTCCTAAAAATGGTCTGCTCTTCCCGAATCCGGTTGATTTTGTAAAAATAATATTCTAGCACGGAAAATATAACGAAATCACCTGAGCTTGGGGTCAGCGCAAGCCTCGGTGGCGCCCTCGAGGGGCCCAATGGCCTCCCCTCTTCTTCCGCTTTCCGCCGCATCCGCATGGGCATGGCTGCGGCATCGGTATCTACAAACAAAGACCTGTTAATTCATTAAATTATAACTCTCGTATTTCCATAAGCCATTTATCACAAAGAAACAAACCCTCATCATCGGCACCGAGAAGCAGTACTTTTGGCACGACATTGAGGGCATGCATTCGCCTGGAAGAAGGGTGACAATTCGAAAAAAGCGCCTAAGATCAATAAAAAAAAAGTTTATTTTTACAGCTGTTAATGTTAGAAAATTGCTTTAGTTGTCGAAAGTATTGTGGAGAATTGCCCTATCCCTCAGTATAGTTGCCACCAATTCTCTTCGACCCATAAAGCCTCCTACCCTCGGATCATCGGAGTTCAGTGGGACCTGGATTTGGGCCTTCTGCTAGCCCCACAGGTCATGAATAAGATCGTATGTATTGAACACGGGTAGAAATAGTAATACGGTTTATTGAGGATTATTAGAGAACGGGTAGGATAATAGTTAGAATGGATAAGAGGTGAGAAGAGAGAACAATAATGGGGTGTCGAATGGGATCCGGGTGTCTCAGAGAGCCACCGGATAAAGGGTGGAAAGGTGAGCTGTCTACTCCACGCTTAGCCAGCTCAATAGAGTGGTAGCGGAAGCGTAGTGAACAGGCATAAGCCCGATACACTACACGACACCGTTGGGGACGGCACTCCCGTAGACGGATAAATCCTAGAGGGCCTGAACCGGCGGGAGGGATATTCCGCCCCAGCGGGGGCTCGGTCTACGGTAGGAAAATGGGTGGCGCGCTGCGGGACCCGCCACATCCACGGGATAGAAAGGATGCCTCGAAACTATTCCCGAATTACACATAAAAGTGTGAATCGGGGATAGAAGTTTCGACACTCCCGGCCGCCAAGGGCGACGACGCGGGGGTGCTGGCTCTTCCCAAGTGGTATGATGTCGAGTCGGGCAGGAGCCTCCCGGGGCCAACCAGAAGACCAGGGGGCCGGGGGGAAGGTACAATAAAAAGGGGTAGGGACAGTAAAGGGGAGCTGGGCCGAAGCCATAATAAAAAGAAAAATTCAGCACACCTCTACTGGGCCCGGACCCGGTGTACTGAAAGGGAACCTAGGGGTGGGGAGAGAAGAAAAAAAATAGACAACATACATGGGCAAAGGAGCGATGTCGAAGATAAGCTTATCCATCAATACTTGCGTTGTCGATGTAGGCGAACATGTCGTTGTGCGCTTGAACTGATGTCGGCTTGGTCCTCGTCTTGTCGCATCGCTTGACCGGAGTCCCGTGGGCGTCGACTTGACGGAGGGCTTGCTTGCATCGTCTTCGGAACACATGTCGCTGAGCGTCGCGAAGGAGGATGAGCTTCGGCGGCTGGTGATGGTAGCTGTCCATGCATGAAGAGTGTCGCGTTGTACTTCGTCGGAAAAGAGGGGGTCCTCCTGACCGACTTGGCACGGGGAAGGCCAAAAAAAGAAAGTGTCGCGGTGTGCTAGCCAGAAAGGTGTGTAAGCACCCAACTGACCTGCACGAAAAAATGTCGCCGTGGTTGTAGAGGCCCGAGAGGCGGTCCTCAGAAGGACTTGTTGTCGGAGACGTCTGAATAGTGGCGGCTGGCTCTGGCCGAGGGCTCGCCTTGCAAGAAGGGGCAGGCAGGATATTGGTAGAGGGCGCGTGTCAGACAAGTCCTTCAGTGGTGACGTCGTCTTCGTTGAAATACTTGCATTGATGGCGCCACTCGACTTGATGAAGTAGTCGCGATGTTGGTGTGTCGTGCTTCGGCGCTACTTTGAAGTCGCTTTCTAGTCGATTGTTGGGACAGCTTGCTGATCGCAGGGGCGGCAAAGACAGTAGATGTCGCAAGGCTGAGACAGAAACCGCGAAAAGCTTGTTGATCGAGTTACTTGAAGAAGTTCGCGGCAGCCCAAGTTCCATCAGGGAAGAAAAGCGAAGTGACGCGGGTTTGTAGACGGAGTGAAGAGACGAGTTGCGCAGAGGCGATACCGGTCCTTGTTGTAACGCGGACCAGCTGTCTCGAAACCATCGTCTCACAAGTCGCTGCACATGGTGGGGGCTCCTTGACGGTGTAGTTGAAGTCGATCACGGAGACAGGTGAAGTCTGGACCAACGAGCGGAGAGTCGGCAGCCAATGATGTCGCAATGAGGTCGCTCGCATGGGATGTTGTCGGCGGAGCGTGAAGTGGCGACAGCAGCAGCATGTCGCAGCGGCTCCGCTGTTCGAGATTTTGCCGGCGGAGCATGAAGCGTAGCAGCAGCAGATCTGTTCCTGTAGAGGGTCGCAGGCGTAGCTTGATCTTGCGCAAGTTGAGCTTGCACACGGTGGAGATAGGCAATTTGTGGCGATGACGTTGCACAGCGAAGCAGAAAGTTGATGCTAGTAGAGCAGCAGGGGTGCACGTCGAGTTCGAACGCGGCGAAGAGAAGCAGATGCCGATGTTGTGGCGCGAAGGCTACGAGTTGACTGTCGTAGCGCAGCATCAGCGTCGCGAAGTGGCGAAGGCTTGTTGGGTGCAGATAACTGACAGGCTTGTCAGGTGTCTCTGCCTTCTTTGCGATGTCTATTCCTTCCACACGGATGTCGCCACACCAACAACTAGAAAAAGGTTATAAATACCTTGATTGACTAAGTTGCCAAAGTGTCGCAGCAGCCTGCTCGAGAGCTGTTCGCAACTTGAGGGGCTGTTAGACGAGTTGGCGCTGATAGTGGAGCGTTGGTTGTAGTGACGGCGTCGGCGCACGGAGAGAAGATGACGCAGCAGGTAAGGAGGCTCGGCCTTGTTGAGGCCCGGCACGTAAAGATGCGTCAAGCTCCAGCATCGGCGGCTTGACCAGGAAATGCAACACGCGACCGTGTGTCGCGAAGACGAGTAGAAGCGGCATGAGAGAAGAGCCGCAGCAGGAAATGATGTGGTGACGATGAGCAGCAGCGGCCTGGGCACTTTGATGTCGAGACAACGTTGCAGCGGTCGATGGACACTGACGGGCTTGTGAGGTGTCTCCGTCATCCTTGCGAACGTCTTCTCCTTCCGCTGGAGTGTCGCCGCAACAACAACTAGGAAATGTTTTAGTATGCCTTGATACGCCAAGCTTCAGGAGCTTTGACGCTTTTTCAGGAAATGTACTTGAGTCCTTTTTGCAGCCGCTGACGCTGTGGGCCGGGCTTGTGATGCCGGGCGGGCGCTCGCGTATGGAGAAATGAAGCGGCATGAAGGAGAAGCTTCGTCTTGTGGAACGCGGGCACGCAATGATGACGTAGGTGTCGCACCAATACGTTGCATTCCGTTGATCGGGAGGCGGGTTGGCGTGCGGGGCACAGGCTGTCCATTGGAAGGCGGCCTCTGGCGATAATTGTCTGATTTTTGGGCCATTGTCTCTCTTCAGAACGTAATCTGAAAAAGAGTGTCGAAAACGGCTTCAAAGGTGTCTAGCAATCTCGCAGCATCAGTGTCTCGGGCTTGACCATAGAGCGGGATCCCATCGGGTGGTAGCGGCTCGGAGAGTTTGATGTTGTTGCTCCGGCTTGTTCGATGTCGGCGATGGTCCATTCCTTGGGCACGAGCGTCTGGTGGAGAAAGTCAGTCCATCGAAGGCGCGTTGTCGGAAGTACAATTCAACCTTGTGTTTCGAGTATGCGAATAACTGATAGGCAGGAGCCAAATCAATCGCGGATGCTCGAAAACAAAAGAAGAAATTATACCGGTGTCGAGGCGGCGTCACAAAACATTCGGTGTCGACGTGTGGCGGAAGAGTGGCCCGAAACGTCGCCGAGTGACTTCGTAGGCGCCCAAGAACGATGTAGTAGTTCAGAGATTCCACAAAGTCGATGCTGCATGGCCACGGGCGCTTGATGTCGATTTGCAGCGCGCTTGTTGCATAGTGTCCATTTGTCGCTGTTTCCGCCTGTAAAATAAAGTTGATGACGAGGAAACAGGGCGGAAACAGGAACGGCTGGTTGGACAAGCGTTGAACTTGTAGTGGCGCGGGGCGGGCGTGAAGAGTGGCGATGGGGGCTGGGGCTGTTCTTGCTGGAAGTTGAAGCAGCCTCAGCTTGACTTGGTGTCTTGGCCATGGCTCATCAGCGCGTGCAGCAAAAAGCGGCGGCGGCAGCAAGTGTCTTTGAAGAAACGATGTCTCACTGGCATCTTGTGTCGCAAATGCTATGCCAAAAAGAGAGGAAGGCTCTAATCGGCACAGCAAAATTGACGAAAGAATTTATAAAGCAAAACTCCAGATTGAAACAATGAGAAAACGATACGGAAATAATGAAAAAAACGAATGACAATACCCGAAAATTAGACGTAGTTCTAGAACGAAGACGTTTTTTCGGGCAAGCAAACGAAATTTCAAAATTTCGAGTCATTTCGGCCAACTTTAGCGAACAAATCGTAAGTGGCTCACTCAAAATTTCAAAATGAGCTTACTTTTACAAATCCGAGTGTCGCTTCGTCGACTAGAGAATAGTAGCATCCGAATATCGCGGTGTGCACGCCGGAGCTTCATCAGCAACCATTCTTCATCGACGAGTCGTATCCGCGCAGCATTGGTCGCTTCTTCTTCCTTGAGCGTCGGGCATCGGGCTGGGCACGGGCGAGGTGTCGCTTTAACGTAAACGCCGATTGTCGCTTTGGCATAAAGCCGGGTGTCGCTTTGGCGTAAACGCCGAGTGTCGAAAAACCAATGTCGCTTTGGCACGAATGCCGGTGTCGGGCGGCAAAAAGCCAGTGTCGAAAACCAATGTCGCTTTGGCACGAATGCCGGTGTCGAAAAACAGTGTCGTAAGGCAGAAAAAAGAAAGAGCGGTGTCTCGAGGAAAAATCCGGTACAAAACGTACGCAAAATGTGAAATGGATAGATTCACAACGGGGAAGAAATGCGAAAAGTCGAGCGGCAAAAGAGAATCCGCGAGAAAAGCCGAAATTGGGCGGTGAAAATTTTCAGCGGTCGGTGTTCATCGGTTTGTGGCGTACGGTGGGTGATCCACGGCATATCAGCACCAATTTGAGCGTTGTTGAGCGGCTTTCTGGCATCCATTGGACCATTGAGCTCGTTTCTTCGCACAAATTCCTTGTTGTTGATGTCTTCTTGGCATTTGCAGCACGGGATTGTCGCGGGGGGGGCCGTCCTGAATGGTGAAGTGTAGTGAAAAAGTGAAACGAAAAGACAAAAATGCCTGTCACATCGCCCATTCACCATCCATTGAGGCAGTGTCGCACAGAGTCGAGTGTCGCCAAACCATGCCATCACCGATGTCGCCTCCAAAACATCCCCAGGATGTCCAAACTACACCTTATATTGTTCTGCTCCTCCTTCTCTCTCATCAGATTCTTGTCGGGGTTCCTTCTTGTCTTGATCACATCAGTTGAGGTTGTTGAGCGCTTGATCCTTGAAGTCAGCTTCCTCCCCGTGGTCGTCCCCGCCTTGGCGAACCAAGTCACGCGTCGGACTGGGGTCCCTTCCACGAATTGACCGTGGTCGTACGCTCTCAATCGGCACTGCAGTCCATCGAGCTGGTAGGAAGTGTCGATGCGCATTCGACGAACTTCTTGGGGCAAACGGGTGTCTCATGCGCTTTTGCCTGGCCGGGCAAAGCGCGCCTCAACGAGTTTCGCGGAAAAAAGAAAACAGAAAGTGGAGAAAACCGTAAATAATAAAGATATAAACCTAGAAGAGGGATAAAAAGTAGAATTTGAAAGGTGAACAATACAAAAAGACGATCTTGACCAGGGTATTCACAACGGCCGACGCACCATGTCGAAAGTATTGTGGAGAATTGCCCTATCCCTCAGTATAGTTGCCACCAATTCTCTTCGACCCATAAAGCCTCCTACCCTCGGATCATCGGAGTTCAGTGGGACCTGGATTTGGGCCTTCTGCTAGCCCCACAGGTCATGAATAAGATCGTATGTATTGAACACGGGTAGAAATAGTAATACGGTTTATTGAGGATTATTAGAGAACGGGTAGGATAATAGTTAGAATGGATAAGAGGTGAGAAGAGAGAACAATAATGGGGTGTCGAATGGGATCCGGGTGTCTCAGAGAGCCACCGGATAAAGGGTGGAAAGGTGAGCTGTCTACTCCACGCTTAGCCAGCTCAATAGAGTGGTAGCGGAAGCGTAGTGAACAGGCATAAGCCCGATACACTACACGACACCGTTGGGGACGGCACTCCCGTAGACGGATAAATCCTAGAGGGCCTGAACCGGCGGGAGGGATATTCCGCCCCAGCGGGGGCTCGGTCTACGGTAGGAAAATGGGTGGCGCGCTGCGGGACCCGCCACATCCACGGGATAGAAAGGATGCCTCGAAACTATTCCCGAATTACACATAAAAGTGTGAATCGGGGATAGAAGTTTCGACATTAGTAGCTACACCGAGCCCAGAGACGTTAAAATCGAGCTGGGGGAGGAATAAACCAGTCGTAGCTTTAGCTTTTGAAATGGTAGGTAATTTTTATTAGTTGGATAGAATTCGGAACAGTTATAATAAAGTTTAAACATACTTGTTCCACCGCATCCGCCACCGCATCCGCCGCCCCCGCCGCCACCAAAGAGAAATCCGGCCGCCGGGCCGACAAAGGCCAACGATACGAGAAGCTTCGCCACCTAAAATTGTGCACAAATGGCAAATTTTTACAGCGGAAATCTGCAGGATTTTGTGCTTCTTTATTAACCCGGCTCGTCGGGATGAAAACGGAATATCGTTAATAAATCGTCCTCCTTTAAAGAAACATGATTTTTTTAAATGCAAAGCTTTACGAAGCTAAAAAGCCTTGTAATTTCTTCAAAATGGCCATTTAACAGTTGCTAAGAGCAGATTCGGAACCAACGAAAAATTTGGAACAAGATCGGCTTGTCCTTATCTCGAATAAATTCTTACCAAAAACACTTTAATGTAGGCCGGAAGCACGCGAAATTCAGTTAATTAACAGGTAATCACTAATTATATATAAGACTATATAACTTTAATTAATAATTAATGACGGACCATGAGTCTCGATGAATTGTGAGGCTGCGTGTGAGTGGGTGGGTGGGGGGTAGAAAGCGAAGTCAACTAGTCCGACCCCCGGGGTTTCCACAGATATATACGGTCTACCCGCATGTCAACTGGTTGTGTATGGTAGCGTCTCTTCGCCAGAAAAGAGCCATCTCAGGGTTCGACACTCGGTGAAACTGACACCAGCAGTCCTTCGTTGCTTAGCTCATTCCACGATGCTCCGCGCCGTTCTCCACCACTTTCCGGCTGTGCGTCGTCCCGTCGTGTCCAAACAGTCCACGTCTCGCTGCCCCCCGAAAATAAAGTGCCACAATGGGACAATGGCAAAAATTGTGTGATGTCAGCATTTTGGCGGTGGAGGTGTCCTAGGGTTAGCGAAATTCGATGCCGAAATGGTACTGAACGATAAGAAGGGTGACAGTTTTAGCAGGGAGAAACTAATTTTTGTTTGTCCGCCTATGAACCCCGTTGAAAGATATAATGTATTTTATAATGCTTTTCGTAGTTCGTTATTTTTTCGATTAGTTGCTTAGCCTAGCAGTTTGATTTTCGTCTTTTAATAGCTTGAAAGTTATTAAAAAAATATAGACATTTTTCGGAAATTCGAAAATGTAGGCCGTTTCGGTACTTTTTACAGACATTTTTGACCAAAAATAAAATGCTCTCGGAAATTTTACTTATAAGTTTTTATAACTGAAAAATGTGTAAAATGCCATAGAAATGGTCTATAATTTGTTATAGAGCCTTACGGGATTACGGGGAGAAATTGATTTATTTTCCTTTCTTGATGCTTCACCCCTAACAGTCCAATACCTTAACCTCGGCAATGGTCCCCGCTGACTCGTCCCTAGATTCCTTCCTCTGCCCGCTTTCGAAACCGTCCCGCTACCAGTGTAAAGAGATGCCGATAATGTCTAGACGTTGTCAGCCCCCTTCCCAAATATTCAGCAGTCATCTGATCGCTATTTTACGAAATGATACAGGGCCCCTTGTCACTGAAATCGGCTGGCGCGCCATGTTGTCTTGCCCCGCGGATTTTCCCACAACAAAATATACACCCGAGAAGCCGGCGCGACGGTCCCTTTTTGATACACTGCCCGATTCCCAGGCATCCGTTGTGTTGCCCTGTGAACACACGGTACCGCTCCTTTCCCCCTAAAGCCCGGTAGAAGGCGGCTGATGCAATTGAGCACACCGCGGGATCATGGCGCGCGCCCGTTTCTCGCCGAACGCTAAACTCGGCCCAGATCCTCAGAGATGATCGAAATGGACCGTAAAACCGGGAGCTGTTAGAAGTAACCCGACCAATGGAAAGTATCGCAAATCTTCCCATTGTTTAACTCAGGGGACGAAACCTCGCCCGGAAACTACCGCCCCGTTGCCCTGACCTCCTCCATTTGCAAACTAATGGAAGTAGCTTTAAAAACGAAAATCGTGGCGCGTCTTGAGCTAAATAATTTCTTTTCGCCAGCCCAATTCGGCTTTAGAAAGTTTCATTCCACGACCACGCAGCTTTTGCAAATGTTTCACAAAATCTCTGAGAAAATCGACGCCGACGAGGACCCTATCACGATTTATTTTGATCTAGCCAAAGCTTTTGACAAAGTTTCCCACGCACTTTTAATCACTAAGCTTTCTCATATAGGTTTTCCGCAGATATTGGTTACTTGGATTGAAGCCTATTTGACAAATCGATCTTTCTATGTGAAAATAGGTGATCAAAAGTCGAACGCCCACCCACAACCCTCAGGAGTCCCTCAAGGTAGCGTATTAGGCCCACTACTTTTTCTCATCTATATAAGTCACCGGTTTCGCATTTCCCTGAAAAATCCGACCCCTTCCGTTCTATGGCTTGGCTGTAAAAATTGTGCTTGTCTACATCAAAAGTGCAACTTTTACGAATCCGTTAGTTTTATTCCGAAACAACAATCAAGCGATGCGAGGTGAAAAGGGCGCTTGCCAGAGGGCAGCATATAAAACGTGTAAAAAGTGAGAGCTGCGTTGGGAGGAAGGGAGGGATGTAGTACGTTGGTAAGGCACGATGTAATTTTGTGGAAGGCCAGGCATTTTGGCTGAAGCAGTCGATGCTGAGAAACGGGCAACAAGCTACTGGCAAAGAATCACAGGGAATGGGTGGGGGACTGAAGGCGATCGGGGAGGGACACGTAGTGGGACCATGCTTCGACGGGATATTCCGCCGTGCACAGGGCAATAATCAACCATAACAACGATGAAAAAATGAGAGTGGGAAAGAGGTGTGTGCCGTTTAGTGGGCGATGCCATTTTGAGAAGACTGCTGTCCGTTCACGCCGATCGGGTGCTTGGCTTTGGTGGCGATGGCGGCGCTGAAAATTGAAAAGTTAAAAAAGTTTCCACAATTTTGAAAATGCACCGTAATTTCCCTAATACAATCAATTCCTCGCGGCTTATCGAAAAAAAATAGAACAATGCGGGGAAAATATTTTGCAATCACAAAACCTAAAAAAGTTTTCTTTATGCCTTGCTGGTTTTATCGTCGGTTTTAGGCAGCTTAAAGTGTTAAAGACGGATTCAATTAGTCAAAAATGATTCTTTACACCCCTATTTTCGGTATTTTGTTTGATCGCAAAAGTACAACACCTCCGGCTAATAGAACACCTTTTATGATAATTCAAAAAAAATACAACCGAGGTTAGTTAAGATGAAACATGATATCTAAAATCCGTTACCTAAGCGTGAGCTGCTTGGGTTGCTCCCAGGGGAATGACTCGTGTCCAAAGTGTCCGTTTTCGGCCGTGGGCTCGTAGATGGCGCGCTTCAGGTCGAGGTCCTTGATGATCTTGCCCGGCCGCAGGTCAAAGTTCTCGTTGACAACTTGGAGGAGCTCGGCCTCGGTGAGGGTGGAGGTGCCGAACGAGAAGACGAACACGGAAAGGGGCTTGGCGAGACCGATGGCGTAGGAAACCTAAGAGGGCGATGGAAAAACGACTGGAAATTTCTACCTGGACCAGGCAGCGGCGGGCAAGGCCGGCTTTAACCAGCGACTTGGCGACCCAGCGAGCGGCATACGCGGCCGAGCGGTCGACCTGAAAACGGTATATCAGTAAAAATTAGATGGGTACCTTGGTAGGGTCCTTGCCGGAGAAAGCGCCGCCACCGTGGGCTCCCCATCCTCCGTAGGTGTCGACAATGATCTTGCGGCCAGTCAGACCGGCATCTCCCATTGGCCCTCCAATAACGAACGAGCCGCACGGATTCAAGTGGAAGACGGTGTTGTCGTCGAGGAGGTTGGCGGGGATCACGGCCTTCACAACCTGGAAAAATTTCCAGGTAACGACCAGATACATCGCATTCCGGCGATTATATTATTATATTATATTATATTATATTATTATTATATTATTTATATTATTATTGAGCCTTTATAAACTTCTAAATTGTTAGTGAAACATCAAAATATAGATTTTTCAGCTAAAAATAGGTGGAAAACCAAATAGAAAACGAACAAAATTTGAAGTTTCTGGAAATTTTATGTCGTTGTAAAATAGTTAACTTTACTACCAACACTATTAAATACGCGGTATTGCGTTACTGGCCACTTATCCACTAATAAGAAAAATCGCACCTCCGCTAAAGCAAAAGCGCCCAAATCCCTAAAGAGTACCCCCAGAAAGTCGTAGAAACTGACCAATTCCTTGAGATCGTGTCGGAGCTGCTCCATCGTGATTTCGGGCGCGTGCTGGGCGGAGATAACGATAGTGTGAACGCGGACCGGGATGCAGGCGCCACCATCTTGCGAGTATTCAACGGTCACCTAATCAAAAAAAAAACTAAAAAATTGGGATTCCAAAAACCTGAGTCTTCGAGTCGGGTCGGGCCCAGGCAATCGTGCCGTTGCGACGGAGCTTGTGGAGCTGGGCGTTGAGCTTGTGTGCTAGCACCAGGGTCAGTGGCATGGCTTCCGGGGTCTCGTCGCTGGCGTAGCCGAACATCAAGCCCTAGGCAAAACAATAGAAATGAAATCAACAATTACCTGATCACCAGCGCCGACATCCTCATCCGACTTGTTCTCGTGCACGCCGGCGGCAATTTCGGGGCTCTGCTGCTCGAGGGCCACCATCACGTTGCATGTCTTGTAGTCGAACCCTGGAAAAAGGTCATAAAATAACAAAGATCTCTTTTCACCAGAGAGGCGAAGTTTTTAATACTAGCTGAAAATCAACCCAATTGCTTAATTAAATAAAAACAGCCTTGGATATGCCAATTGTCCAAACAAAGACAAAACCGAAGAGTGATATCCCTACGCAAATGAGCGCGACATGAGCGGCCCATTATCTCATTTCGTTTGCACAGCGGCCTTGTTCCAAAATCGGAAGAGAGAAAAAACATTCCCGGACCCATCGATTTCCAAAAACCCCGCACGTGCCCATGAAAAAGCGAACTGAGAAACTATGGAAACTACGACCTCCCGGAAAGCCCCCATTCAAACTTTAGTGAATATGGAGTGATAAACAAACGAACCCTTGGACGAATCGTCGTATCCAATCTTCTTTACAACATTTCGCACCAGCGTTTGGTAATCGACGTTGGCATTGGAGGAGATCTCCCCGCAGAGCATGATCATACCCGTTTTCGTGACCGTCTCTGTAAGCAAGGGTCATTCTGAACGGGCTATGATCAGCTCAGTGTTGCACCTCGGGGGAGATCCCCCATCTAAACGCGCGATCAAGGCAACAAAACCAACCGCAAGCCACTTTGGCGTTCGGGTCCTGCTTGAGGTGGGCGTCGAGGACGGCGTCGGAGATCTAAAAAAAATGGGTAACTTTACACGGAATATAGAAAACCTGGTCGCACATCTTGTCCGGGTGACCCTCGGAGACCGATTCGGAGGTGAACGTGAAAGTTGCCATGCTGCTCGGATCGAAAAAATCCATTTTTGCCGGAGAACAGAGACAGGAAAAAGGAAAAAGTTTGAAAGGCGGAAATGAAAAAGCGAGTTCCGCGCGATTCCTCCTTACAGTTAGGTGCAAGATAGCATGCAACGGAGCGCATGAGTTTTCATGGCATAATCGGTTGGCGGAATTTTTATTTTAGGAAATTTCAGCATTTATAGATTCTTTTCATTTTAAATTCCGTATTTCGACTTTTGATTTAGGAAAGAAACTTTCGTTACTCTAATTTTGCGACTAATTCGGTCCGAAATAAGGTGCTAAAGCTAACCTTAACTCCCAAAGATATTTAGACCAGCGTATCAAAATCAAAAAATCAAAGCCCCCGCGCCCTCAGACCCGACCGGCCAAAATAGACAATATGTCGCCCGATCAAAGGGTAATTGCCCGGCCCTTTGCAATTCCGCGAGCAGCCCTGATACGGAGGGGTCGGCTGGGGGGGGGGACGGAGAAATGGGCTAACAGTGCGGGGGTACAGCGAATCCGACACGAATGGCCTGATCTGAGCCCGAATCGGAAATTGTGGTGGTGGCGAGATGCGCTGTGGTGTCGGTGGGCGGGGCTGCGGCGCGCCACCACATTTTCCGCCGACGGGCCGATGGAGGGGCAGGCCGTAGATACGATACGGAGCAAAGGGCGAGATGAGCCAGACGGGGGTTGGATGTGGGAATGGTCGAGAAGCACCCGGGCCCCCACTCCATAAATAATGCTACCTTTTTGGGGGTGGAGCGGGGGCACAGGTCAAACGTCTAGCGCTTGGAGTTGGTGAAAAATCGCGTTAAACCGAGGGTGTGCAAAGCGGCGCGTTACTTTTAGCAGAAACTACGATTTTATAGCGTCATTATGTAGCATTTTTTAGTATGTATAACGTCGAGAAAATTACTGGGGATAGAACTACGTCATTTTTGGGCTATTGCTCAAAAGCTAGTCTCGAACCCCGGGCAACTTTCCAATGGTGATTTGCCCGCTGTTTCTGATAAACGCCACAAACTACAATCACTAAAAGCAAATAGAAAAAGCACTTTATGCTCGATAGCGGCAAAAAACGAAATCTCGTCAAAAACTACAAGAATGGCCGGATACCCTGGACCTGGTGTTTGTTTTAGAACTCTGGAACTACCTTAAAAGCTACAAGCTACTTTAAAGCTTACCATCCCTTGCAGTGAAGCTGCCGAATAGCTTTCCAATAATATCAGCCATAGCTCGAGAAATTTTGTGAACTGATTCGGGCCAGCATTCAGCCCTATTTATAGGACCCGATTTTGCAAAACACTCAGAGATCGGCCCTCTTACTTTTGGCCCGCTCGACGGCAGGCCCAAAAATGGTGCAAGAAAATTCGGGGTTGCAACAAACATGTTTTTGATCCTCCTCGCTGCGATAAGGTGCTGCACCGCTTTTTGTGTTTGATGAGCCGATTTTTGTTGCAATATAGGCGCGTGAGATGCTCGGCAAAAAGAAAGATAAATTGGGACTGGAAGCAGAAGGTGAAAAAAGGGGGAAAAAGAAGATGTAAATAGGGTGACTAACGTCGAAAAAAGGTGTTTGTAACGGTGGAGCTAGATGGGCAGAGCATTGTAATCATTTTTGCAGGGTAGATAGGGTGTTTTGAAAGAGATTCTGCATGAAAATAGATAAAGTTTTCGATTCTGGAATTTAGGGGATGATAGCTTTCAAAATTGGGAGTTTTCTACGATGTATTAAAATTTGTAGTGTGTTTTCAGGAAAAATTTTAGACTTACAATTTATTAGCTTAGGCTTGTAAATATCCAAATCAAAGCTTTTTTGTTTTTTTTACGTATCTAAGTAAGGTTAACCTTTAAAGGAGGAATTTACTGGCAGGTAGTAGGGTGTTTTTCAGCGGAAAATCATGCAAATTTTGCCTTGTACCTCGAAATCTAAAAAATCTGCCGTCTTTATGAACTCCCTCGCTTTGAAGCGGCTTATTTGAGCGAAGATTCAAAGCCATAAGCCGAAAAAGACGCGCGAGCCATTCTTGAACCCAAGAAACCGTACACGACACGCAATTTTAGGCCCAGAAAATGGCAGCTGGGCGATGGGGGGAAGGAAGGGACTTGGCTCGGGTCGGGGCGAGCAGGCACAGCCTCTGCGGCTAGAAAGCGCTTTGTGAGTGTGTCTTTCTCCGGTTGGCTTTTCCCCCTGATGTCTGGGCCCTCTTGCCCTGCGAGTCCTCGATTCCGATCCCATCCTCTATTCGGTTGCCCTTTGATCTGTGGCCCCTCTCGTATTGTCGTGCTCTCTCGCCCGTTCCCACGGCACCCCGGCATCCCCATTCATCACGCAACTCGCCACAACTCAAACCTTTCAAAATTTAACCCCACTTCGTGCTGGCTGGTTCTATTCGGTTGATATTTTGGGCGTTTGTTTTGTAGAGGTCAATTTTGGCATCTTTATGTCGGAGTAGTAGAGGCTATTTTCGTTATAAGGCCTTTTCCCACACGTATTTTGGTGATTCATAATTGTTTTGGTGTGGGAAATGTCAAATTCCTTTTCGATTCTTGAGCCAACAATGTAGCCGGCTGCTTTATGAACTTGAAAAGGGGGTTATTGAAATTTAATGAAGGGCAGGATCTCGTAAAAATTCAACGAAAGAAATTTTCGGAGTTTATTTTAATGAACTACCAGGGTTGAAAAACCGCTTCGCGGCTTTTCAACCCTGGCCCCGTCTAGGACCTACGAAAGTATTGACTTTGCATAATTACGGAAAACTGATCACCGAAAACTGAAAAGCACGCCCTCCCTTCCTTTTTATGAGCCATTTCCCCTTCCGGCGTATGCTAATTGCTTCCTAACAAAGAGCTTGGCTGAAAATTTTACAAAAATCTAATTTTAATATCGAAAATAGCAATATGAGGGTTGGGGTTGGAATCACGTAGAACTCACAAAAAAAAGAATTTTTGGAGTGAATTTTGTAACGAAATTTCAAGCAATGTATACTTTAATTGTCTAGCGACACTAGTTTTTCATTGAATTCTCCGATTGTCTAAAAATCACCTTTAAATATGATGACTTCAAAAATCTATGGACCTCCTTTCGCTTTGCCGGCTCTTTATTTGCCCTCGATTTGCCGTGTGCCCATCATCACAGCCATTTTGCAGGGCTTCCGAAAAAAGAGATAGGAGAGACGGTCGGTGGGTGAGAGAGCGAGTGACGCTGGAGAAGCCAAACGAAATGAGACGGTGAGAGAGTGCGGGGCAGGAGAGAGAATAAGAAGCGGTGGAGGGATGGCGATGGCTGACGACGATGTCGATCAGGCACCCTATCCGGTGGGAATTTCTTATTTGAGGGGGAGACGGTAGGGTGGATTGGCGGAATTATGCATTGGGTGGAATGGGGGTTGTCACGAGGTGATGGCTAGAATCTATGATATTTGGCAACTGGATCACGGGCAGGTTGCACGTGGTTTTTTCGCCAGTCTGGTATCATGTCAACCCGTTTTTGAAAGGCGATAAAAAGGCCTTGAGCCCAAAAAAACGTTTTCTAAGCCTTGGAAAACTACCAAAAAAGCATAATTTCGATTTTATAAAAACAATTAACAATGTTTTAGCCGGAATCCATCCGCCGCGATGACAACCGTCGCATCGGCGCGGCGCGATGCTGCTTTGGGCGTTTTTCCTCGAAAATCGGCGCCTTCGTCCTCACGTCGTTCTGGGCGCATCAGATTGCTCTTGGTGGGTGAAAGGGATTTCCTGATTTACTAACGTTATTTGTACCACAAACTAAATTCAATTGCGCAAAAACAGTACGACAAAATACATTCCACGCCGATTTTCATACGCGAAATTTCAGTATGCCGAAAATAATGTCGTAAAAATAATACAAAGAGAAGTACTTTTTTTCCTACTCCCAAACGCTAAAACTTTACAAATCGCGATTAAAAAGTGCACAAAAACAGCGATTTTTTTCACCCAAAATAATCGTTTTTGCGCAAAAAAAAATGTCAAATTTCCAATGATTACCAGGTTTCCAATTTTTTTGGCTTTTAGATAACTCAGTTTGATCAAAAACCTTGTTAAAACACGAATATACGTTACTAGACATTTTCTCCTTTTTTAGCGATGATTTACACGTTTCACAACCATGACTGGCAGTCGCCCAGCAATTTGCCGTTGACGCCGATCCGGTGAGTTCGGGGGTTTTAAAATTTTAATAAATAATTCTTACCGTTATATTTAGTTTTATAAGCACATTAAATAGACATTGAAACCAATTTTATCAACGCTTTTTAGCCTATTCCAATTGCTAACGGTGGCCATCTGCTACATCGGCCTCTGGCGGCATAAATGCTATTATCTGGTGCCGTTTATTGTCTTTCAGGTGGGTAGCGTACGAAGAATATCGAAAATCCATTAAATACACTAAGAACGCGTGATTCCAGTTGACGCTCGGCTCGTACGCGGATCTGACCACGTGGATGCTGCTGGTCAAGGCGCACAGTCAAAAGGATACGGTTCCTCCCGTGTATTTTAGGTATGGATTGTTCTGTAAAAGTCTAGTAACGTAATAATATTCATTTTAAGAATGTTTTTAGTAAAATTTAACTCTATTTCAGGTGGAAAGACTCGCTAAAAACTTTTAAAACCGATAAAAAAGCCGAGATTTTGGTCAATCATGGCCATTTCGATCGAAAAATAGTTGTTTTTTAATCAAAATTTAAGTTTTAATTTTTTTCAGCGCTCCTCTCATTTTAATCACATTTTAAGCACATTTTTAGTAAAATTTAACTAAATTTCAGGTGGAAAAACTAGCTAAAAACTTTTAAAGTCATAAGAATTCGAAATTTTGGTAGAAAATTGATCGAATAATCGTTTATTTTTTCATCAAAATTTAAGTTTCAATTTTTCCAGCACTCCCCTCATCTATCTGGTGCTGCCGATCCTGATCTACGCAGCGTTCTGCGTCTTCTTCACCTACGTCATGTACAAGTGCTACGCCTTTTTCAAGGCAAAGTAGGTTTTTTTAGTTTGAAGGCTCTAATCTTTTTTTAACCTTGATTTAATAATTAATAATTAAAATTAAAAAAGAAAAATAATTAATGGAGTTTAATTTTTAATCTTAATTTAATTTAATTAATCTTTAATTTAATTAATTTAATCCGAATATGCAAGCAAAAATCCGAGTTTTCCGGTATTTTGCTAGAACCGTGCCGTTTCAGGCATTCTACCTCGACGCGTCCGCCGGAAACGCAGGATCTTACCGAGTTGGAGACGTTCTAGGCACGAATTCGTTTTTGCTCGTCTTCAGTTTCCCCATTAATAGCTATATTTTGCGGGTCGTTCCGAGTTTTGCGCCCTTCCCCTCTGCTCTCAAATTGTCTGATGAAATGTGGTTTGTAGGGTGTTTTAAAGGGACTGGCAATTGAAAGCCTGGTCGATGTGATTTTTGCCTTGCCGGCCCCTTAAAATATAATCAAAAATATTGCTCCAGCTACCGGCTCCACCGGTGCTTTTGCGTTATCGGGGGCGGGGCTCAGTTTTTCCTAGAATCCCATAAATGCATAATAACTTTGAAAATCGAAATTCTCGTCAAAATTCCCCATTTTTCGAAGAAGAATCGGATTTTTTTTGTAGTTTGTAGCGAACAATTCCAAAGTTTTTGAGTTTCGTGATAATAAAAAACCGTTTGGAAAAAATGCCTCTTTTAATATGATAAAATTACAGCCCCCCCGATAATGGAAAAGCACCGCTGCCCCGATTCTCCTCCAAAAAGGGTGACTCGCTTTAAAGGGACTGGTAAGGCAGGTAAGCCACTGGAGATCTTGGCGCGTCGCGACACGCAACGCGCTGTTATGACGGGCGTTGCGGTCGCGTGTGCGGCTAAATCTCTCGAGAATCCAGCCATGCTTTTCCGACCCCTTTAACGCCCGGTGCCTCCTGTTTCCCCCTCAAAAACCACACTGTCCGGGTCCTCACCCCCTACCCCCAAATTTCCCTGAGATTCCGTTACCTTCCAGTGTACAGCAGGGTACTGTGCCTTTCCCACCAAGCATCCACTTTTCAAGATCAAATATTCTTGATGTCACTTCGGTAGTAAATGATTTTTGTTGTCTAGAAATAAATGCATTACGGTATATTTTTATAACTGATTCGTCACCGGGGGTGCGTTAACACAGTATAGACAAAAACAGTGCGGCAATTTAATCCAAAGACGTGTTAAAGTCCTTAAAAGGGTTTCTATGGATCACAAGCTGCTTCCGAATAGATAGAGACTGGACGAAAAACGAGGTGTACGGTATCTGCGTCTACCGTAACCCAGCTACCGTAACCCTGAATTGGGGCTGAATTGAGCCCCGAGAAGAAACGTGAAAAAAGCGACTACCACATGGCAAAACAAGCTCTTCGAGGCACACAAAAAAATAGATAAAAATGACTAAAAATAATAAAATGGCTATAAAAAGTAGAAATGCTAGGAGAGCAAATAGACATAGAGAGTGAGAGAGAGAGAGATAGAGAGAGAGAGATAGAGAGAGAGAGATAACGAGATGCACATACTCGCAAAATGCACGCATCGGCCGCAAAAATGACAACAACACACAGCTGAGTACAGAGAAATACAGTAGTACACGGACCGGGGGTGGAGATAGGAATGGAGCGGAACAATTGGGACGCCTAGGGAACCCGGGATTTGGGGATTTGGGGGTAGAGACGAAGGGAATTTCCAGCTACAGTGTAACTTCATCTCCACCTACCGTACCCTAACAAAATTAGAAAAATTCCTAAATTTGTGCGACCGGTATGGGTATGGGGGGAATTGGCGGGGGGGACGATAGGATAGCGAGAGAGAGAGAGAGAGAGAGAGAGAGAGAGAGAGAGAGAGAGATAGGATTCGTTTGCAATCTCTGTCTGACTCTCACTTCTGGGGATTCTTCGTCTCTCTCTCACTCTCACCTTATCTATCTTGCTCTCTCTCTCTCTCTCTCTCTCTCTCTCCCTTTCACGCTATCTGTCTCTCTCTCCCTCGCTATCGCCACACTCGTGCTCTTGTGTTTCTTTCTAGCCGCTATTCGTTATTTCTCTAGATTTTCAGCAAGCGATAGAAAGAGAAACAGGGAAATAGAGCGAGAGTGAGAGAGGGGCTAGAGATAACGAGAAATAAAGCGAATAAAAACCAGTTAATAAATACATGACTGCACACATAGATACCGGCAATCCGGGGAAAAAGGACTCGTTTCTCTAGGAAATGGCTTCTGCATATCACAAATCATTTTTCTCAGTTTTAAAGGGACCGTGAAGGCTACAGAATCGTGTTGCTACGCCGCTGACGGCCACGCTGCGAAGGGTCCGAGTGGAGTTTGAAGAGAATGTCGCCTAGTTTGTCCACCTCTTGCACGTTGTCGTACTGTAAGGGAGTTATTTAGAAAGATTTTTGACGGAAATCTCGGCTAGCTCGCCCCAATAAAACTCACCAGCCACCGCAACGTCGTCCAGATCATGTCGCACAGCTTGCCGTCGTCGATCTGATCGATGCGCACGTTGACGCCCACCGGCGAGAGGCGCACGAAGGGGACACCCTGTGCCGCGCAACGGTCCGAAGCTGCCTCCACCGAGCATTGGTCCTGGCCGACGCACTGAAAAAAATTCGGTTTCCCGGAATTTGGTGTAAACATAAGCGGAACCCAAGCTTAAACTGAAGCCCAAATCTGGCCTAAATGTACGCTTAAGCCCATGCCTCTGCCCAAGCTTAAGCTTAAGCCTAAGCCTAAGCCTAAGTTTAATCGGGGACCACTCCTAACCGTAGCCCGAGGCGAACGAAGCCCAAGCCCAAGCCTGAGCCTCGTCCTCAGCCTAAGCCTAAGCCTAATCCTAAGCTCACGCCTCTGGACAAGCCCAATCCTAAGCTCAAGCCGTAGCCCAAGGCGAAGCCCAAGCCTAAGCCACAGCCTAAACCTAATCCGATCTTAAGCCTAGCCCAGACCTAAGCCTAAGCTCAAGCCTATGCCTGGCTTGCGCAAAGCCCCTGCCTCTGCTTTATCTCACCTGCTCAAGTATCAGCGTGCCAACAGTGGCAATATGTACAGCCCTCCTCTTCAGCGTGGTCAACTCCTTGATCTTCCTCTCCATCAACGCCGGCTCTCCAGTCCCAATCGACACGAGGCCGTGCAGCCGGATTTTGTTGTCGTACTTGAAGAAGTTGTCGTATTCCTGCAATTCAATGGCGTAATCGAATAAGCGATTGGAAAGTCGATGGAAGCAGCGGGAAACCGACCTTCCACAAGATGTTTAGGGGAGAGTTGGCGACAAAAGAGCCGTCGACCAGCTTCCGGTTGTTGTAGTGGAACGGCTCGAAGTAGGTGGGTGCCGCGCTGAAAAGGTGGTGGTTACGGTAGAACTGTCTGTAATTACCTGCTAGCCCTCGCCGCATCTCTAAAGAGGACATCCTGCTCTTCGGGCAACGCGCTGCCGAACGGTTTGTCGAAGGCGTAATTTCGGAATGTGTAGAGACGGCCTGGGGATGTGGTGATGTCGAAGGCGGGTACGGTAAGGCGTCTGGAAACGGGAATTTGTGTAATTCTTCTCCTTTCCTAGGGCATGCTAGCAGGGAAACTTTGTGGAAAATGACATTAGCCAGAAGACGAGAAATTCAAGCACGATATTCTTGGAGCTTTGGTATTATCGGGGTGGGGGGCATTGTTTCCTTACCAGTTAAGATCCAATTTTTTAAATGCAACAGTGTTTCTAAGAAGCTTTTGCTATCTTGTACAACTTCGAATTTCTTGTAAAAAAATACAAAAATATCGCTAGACCAAAATTTTCAGTCCTTTGTAACCTTTTAGAGGGCTTATCTATTTCTCAATATATTATTTTTTTCATGAGCGCTAATAAGACAAATATTATGGCGTTAACCACCTGTCGCAATCCCTTTAACACCCACCTGATCGACTGATGAAACGTCTCATTTGGGAAGCAATCCTTCAGAATCTTCTCAATATTCCTCGTCTGCTCCGGGACTTGATTCCCGAATAATCGGGCCATCGTCGATCCATCCAAGAAGATCTTCCGCTTCATATCCCAATATTGGAAGAAACATTCCTGCAGGTTCTTTCCCTGCGCCATCGAGAGGGCCAGCATCGAGCCAGTGCTGCAAGAAAGTTGTTGATGGTAGATTTTATGGGTTATACAGGGAAGGAAAAAGTATAGGTTACGTTAATCTGCTACTTCCGCTAACTATGGATACCTGGTACCGATGAGCCAATCAAAATAGTCGGGCAGCTTGTCATTGCCGAGGAGACGTCGTGAGGAGAACATTAGACACACCACCGAGACGAGACCTCTGCAAGAATTTTCATCGCGTAATCGGATAGGGATATCTAACCTCATGCCTCCACCATCCATACAAAGTGGCAGACTTCCACCTGGTACTCCTTTACCCGGCGTAGAGCATGAGATCTTCAGGGGTGTCTGGAAAAGTGGGTAAATTACCGTATTTTCTGGCAGGGTTTTTTTTGGCTTTTACGTATTGATTTTTCAATCGTGGCATTTAGGTTATTCTAATCGGTTAGAGTGCAGTTTACCCGCCCCCCAGCCGGTACCCAAAGTTTGTATTTCGGCTCCCTGTTTATCTACAGGCGTGTGAATTATACCAAAATGTTCGTCTTGAGGTCGCGAGTATTTTGGTATACTTTACACACACCGGTAGATGAACAGGGAGCCGAGATACGCTAGGTGGGGGGGGTCGGCTTGGAGGGGGAACTGCGCTTAAGCCAAATTTTGGTACGCGGAAATATGCATTTTTGGGACTAATCAATTTCGCAAAATCAAATTTCGACAACACGAATTCCGAAATGCTGATAGCAAATCCCTTTATCCCATCAGGCAGTATTTTTTTGAGGGATTTTCGGACGTGCTTGTCAATTTTGCCAGATTTCCCCTGCCGACGACATTTACTAGGCGTCCCCCCTAAGGAACACTTTAGAAAACAGCTGACCCGTTGCTCGGATGTCTCGCCGAACGCCCCAAGGATTATTATCCAGCTCGACTTTTTAGTGGGGGCAAAGGGTAATAAGAGCTGCATCCCGAGGGTTGTAGCCTTCCGGAATGCGACCAATGGCCTATGGGTCACTTTTTAGTGTGGTACAGTTGAGTAATTCACCAAAGGCCTTAAAAATATACTTAAAACGGTTGAATGCCAAAACCGTAGAAGCCTATGTCCAATTTGTATTTCTTCGAGATCGTCAAAATTTTTAAATACACATTTAAGGGCAGAATGGAGCTCACCTGCTCCCACATTTCTTCATAGATCGGACCCGCGAATTCGAGAAATGACTCGTACTTCTTCTCACACTCCGGGCAAACCGAGCCCGAGTCGACCCGTTCGGCGAGCACCTTGTCGCCGTACCCGTCTGCAAGGAGTTTTTGTAGTTAGGAGAGTTGCGGGAAATGTCGCTCTCACTCTTGCTCATTCCCTCGATTTCTCTCTCTCTCTCGCTCTCTCTCTCTCCCTCTCTCTCGCTCTCGCTCTCTCTCTGACTCTCTCTCACTTCCATTTATCTCTAGCTTTCTCTTGATCTTTCTAGCTCTTACTCACGTTCTCTCACTCTTGCTCTCTATCTCGCTCCCTCTCTTTCTCTCTCTCTCTCTCTCTTCTCTCTCTCTCTCTCTCTCTCTCTCTCTCTCTCTCTCTCCCTCTCCAAAAATCAACCAACTTTCAAGGATCTGCGCCGGATCTCCCCCCAGCGTCAGCAACAAGATCAGCTCGTGGACGGTGGACTGGGGGATCGAGATGACGTCGTACATTTTTTGGGACATCTTAAGCGTTTAATTTATGTTTATATAAAGTTTAATGAATGTTAGTATATTTATTTGATCAATATGTAACCCTGGTCTCTCTTGTCCGATCAATCCCACTTCCTTTTCCAGCGCTACGTTCAGTACCTATCCACCACGTTAGGGGGCTTATCGCGAAACGAAGAGGCCCTCAAAAAAGGTGTTAGGGGGGAAAACCCCCCGTATAGTTAGGGCCTTATCTTTGGTGTGTCCCCTCCACCCGGTTGGCCGCCAAAAAACCGCGGCGTTTCCACGAAAATGGCCGGGTTCCCGTGCCCCGGGTGCCCTGGCCGGTCATTAATCCTATTTTTTTCGGAAGCTGCGTGCTGAACAGAGCTGTTCGCCAGTGGTCTTTTCGCTATTTTTAGGGCTGTTCAATTCGAAAAATGATATAGTGACGGGGGGGACGGGTGGAAACGACGCTTTTTTGGTACTGGGCGAGTAGCAGGGGGGGTTAGCAGGGGAAACTAGTTTTTAGCGGTTTAGACATACCTGTTGATAATATATAGTGTATTATTATAGTGTTTTAATAGTAGTTTTTATTGTTAAAAAATTCGAAAACTATTTTTAAATTTTTTAAATGTGAAAATATCACGTTTTTTGTCATTTTTCATACATTTTTGAACTGAGAATCAAAAATAAACAAGAATTTTGTCATTTTACGTGCTTTCTTTGGATTAACACTGTAGAAATGCTATAAAAACACTTATAGTTTGCTATAGGGCCTTACGGGATCACTGGGGAAAATGGGGAAGTGAGTCCCCCCCCCGCTAACAGTCCAGTGCCATTTTTCTGCATTTTTTTGCAGCTACCGTATCACTAACCTGCCCTCTGTTTGCCGTTTTTGCGAATGTACATAGGGTGTCGATGCGTTCCTGCCGTTTCTTCGGCGACAGCTGATGGCCGCATCGTTGCACGGGCATCCCGCCCCTGAAAGTGAAGGGTGTTCATTTGAAAGTTTTCCTAATAAGTGATGACGACAATTTTTAAAGGGCTTGGAAAGGATGAGAATTGACCCCCTGTGACGGCTAGGTAATGACAACTGCCTACAGATTCGCGAGCTTAATTAAATCGAAACGTCGCTGGCGTATTGGCGAGGGGCGAGCATATGAGACATAGAGAATGCTAATTTCAGTAATTTCCTAGTAAGTGATGACGACAATTAAGGGATTGGAAAGAGTGAGAATCGACCCGAGATGAGAGCGAGGGACAGAGCGAGAGAGCGACCGCGAGAGACAGTAAGAGCGATAGAGGGAGAGACATTAAACGAGAGATGAAGAGAACGAGAGAGAGAGAGAGAGAGAGAGAGAGAGACAGACAGAGAGAGAGCGCGCAAAAGCTGGAAAGTTGGAAAGTGAGTCTAGCTGGAAAGTCTATGGCAATATCTAGAAGCCTGTGGAGTGGATTCTTGCGTTTTCCAGACCCTTTAAAACTCAATTCTACGATGTCAAACGTAGTCAGAAAGAAGCGAATATAATAACCCGTGTTAAAAGACTTTGAGGATGCAAAAAGCTTCAGAAAGGGGCCGCAGAACCCAAATATTTCCCATAAGGTTCCCTGCCAGACCAAAGGTCTGGTATTAAGTGAAATTGGAACTGTGTGGGCAGCTAGATGAAAATTGGGGTGTTCCTGTAATCTGAAATCGGGAATTCCCCCCTTCTGATAGCCACTATCAGACCGCCGGCCCGGCTGGCCGAGCTCAAAAAAGGCTCAACAGGGCGGAGAAGCTGGACCCGGAGGAGGGCAAATTACGCCTCGGATGGCAGGGAAGTAGATAGAGAGGCAGACGGGACCCGTCAGAAAAAGGGAGCTTGTTTATTTTGTGACCGGCTTCAAAGCATGAAATGACGCTCAGGATATCTCATTTTCTTTAAGAAAAAATAGCTAGGCAAAGAAATAATTACCCGTTCTCGAGCTTGTGGCGTTAAATGGTTAAAAGACAAAAAAAGGAGGTTCGGAAAGATATAGCGAGAGAGAGAGAGAGAAAGAGAGAGAGAGAGAGAGAGAGAGAGAGCTATTGTGAGAAAACGTTATAGAGATAGAGTGAGAGGGAGGGAGAGAGAAAAGGATGTAGAGAAAGAGAGAGAAAACGATATAACGAGAAAGTGTTAGATATTAAAAGAAAAGAGAGAGAGAGAGAGAGAGAGAGAGAGAGAGAGAAGGAGATAGAGAGAGGGAAAAACCTACATATGCTAAGATTGGGGTTTATCTCTAGGCTTCGGCTTGGGCTTATTTCTCGAATAATTAGACAACTTTGGCTAGGCCTCAAACAGAGCAAAATGACAACAATCCATACCAATATTCCCAGAATTTCACAAGTCCTCCAAATGGGCTGGACTCGAGCGAATAATCCTCGGCACCCTGTATTTTGACGGAATAAATTAGCAGCCGAATCTTAGGAGCAGAGCCCTGCTTAGATTGACAGTTGTGATAGCCTGTGCTCGTATCTGCCTATCTGTCCCCTTCTGACGACAAAACAAACAAATAGGTTGGGCTGTTTTGGGTAGTGTTTGGGGTGTGTTTTGTACTTTTAAGTAAATGAGTTGAGGGTGGGAGGGGGGATTGGTGATTAAAGGGGCAGAGAAGTGCAAAAGTGGAGGGGTGACGCGGCTTAAAGAGCAAAATAACGGAGTTAGGCCTGGCTTGGTAAGGCTAGGCCTTGGCTTATGTTTCGGCTTAGGCTTAGGCTGCGCCCGATCCAGGCTTGGCTTCGTGCTTAGGCGTAGGCTTGGACTTAGGTTCGAGCTTAGGCGGTTTATTTGGTTTAGCCTTACGCTTACTAAGGACGCCCACGCTTAGGCTTAAGCGTAGGCTTAGGCTTCGGTATCGGCTTAGGCTTAGCTTAGGCTTAGGCTTCGACATCGGCTTCGCTAAGGCGTAGCTTCGGCTTAGACTTCGGTTTTCGGCCGAGCCTTTGGCTTAGACTTAAGCTTAGCTTAGCTTTAAGCTCAGGTTTAGGCTTAGCTTAGGCTTAGGCCTGGGCTTGCTTTAGGCTTAGGCTTAACACCTTCGAGAATAATTAACTCTACAAAGCAAGAGAAAAGCCGTCAGAATGCCAGAGCCCTGTCCACAATGAAAAATGGGGCAAAAGAATATGAAAAATTTAAGCTGAGGAGGGCGGAACGATAAATCGGGGCTGAACCGACAGATAGACAACCGGTTGATCCTGGGAAATTTTGCGAGGGTGAGGGGAAGAAGAAGACAAAGAA